CATTGTTTATCTCTTGCCATAAGGATAATGTTTATATAATTTTTTGTCAATGTCATAGCTGTAATTGCAAGTGGAATCTGTTACTTTTTATTTTATTTAGTTGAAATGGTGCTGATTTTATTTTGAAGGTCAAGCTTGCCTAAACAATTATTGCACTGCTCGTGTGTGAGAGTGAACATGTATAATATTCACAGTTGGTCACAGATGAGATCTTTGTATAGCAGAATTCAAACCTCAGGCTAGACTCAGACTGACCTTTGTATCAGCCTTGTTAATACAGAGACACACATTTTTTCTGTGCTGCAGAAGGTTTATGTAACTAAGGGTGAGGGTGGAGGAAGTTGATGTTCTTACAGAGATCTGTCTGAGGTCACAGGTTTAGATGTCGTTGGCTGACTGGTGAGGGACCGACTCCGGGACAGCTTTGCCTTTCTCATCTCTTTACCTGCACAGAGAGGAGATCATCATCACCGTCATCACCATCATTAACATCATCATCATCGTCTCACCATAGGAGGATGAGGCGCCTGCAGATGAGGACACAGACATGGACTTGGTGGCAGATAGATTGGTCTTGCTGTCTCTTCCTGTCAAAGAAACATGGTTTACAGACTGAACTGCAGGTCTAAATTTCTGCTGAGACTCCCCCCCCCCAGCTTACTTTTTCTCTCTGGGTGTTTGTCAGAGTTCAGTTTTCCTTCATTCTGCTGCCTCTCCAGCTGTTCCTGACAACACAAAGACGTTTTTATAACAAAGCAAGGCAGCTCAGGCTGTAGTCTAGTAGCAGGTCTCAGACTCACCATCTCCAGCAACAGCGTCTCCTCCTTCTCCTTCTTCTGGTCCAACAAGTCCCTCTCCTGCCTCTTATGAAACTGTCCACAGACACAAGACATGAAGGAGGTTAGAGGTCAGCAGTAAACCTGTATTCTCATTTCAGCTCCATGTTAAAGCAACTTCTTACAGGTTCTGAGAGGTCTAGTTTGTCCAGTTCCAAGACTGTCTGGAAAAGACGATGGAAACATTGATCACCTTCATCAACAACACAGTCAGAATCTGAAGTCTGCAGACCTGAATATCTGGACTAGTCTGGACTCTGGTAGGCGTTACCTTGCGAATCATGGCCACCACATCTTTGTCTTTCTCTTTGCAAAGCAGCTTCTGGACGCAGAAGTCAAGTTTCTGTAGCAGCTGTTTGTCAGCTGGCAGACGAAGCGAAGAACGCAACCTGGGCAGCATCTGGCACAGCTTGTACCTGAGAGCCAGACAGGTGTGTTTAGTAGGATGTCGGACAGATTTGCCAATGTCTCATTGGACAGAATGAGTATGATGTACCTGACATTGGCAACTGGGTCATGGACTAGCTCCAGTGCTGGAATCAGGAAATGTTTGTTGAAGTATTTTCTGGAGAAAATCTCTGTGGCAGTTTCACAAACATCTAGGAACCTCAGACGATGCCAGTAGCTGCGTCCCTGAGCCAGATCTGAAATTATCAGATTGTCAACATTTACATGTTAGCTGCATTCCTATTGATGTTCTGCTGTTCAAATATCAGAGTAAAAGCGCCAGAAGAACCAGAAATGTTCTGACCTTGTATGAGTCGCCCCATCATCTCCTGACGCTGCTCCTGTTTGCGGTTGTAGCGCAGGAATGTGCAGAATGTGCGAGCTGCTGCCTTCTGTACCGGCAACACTTTCTGCAACCAAAACAGCAGTGTTATTGTCACAGGTTCACCTGTGGGATGCTATGGGATGTTGTATGTAGCATGCTGTGACGTGGTGTGGCATGTGGCAGTGCTCACATTGGTGGTGAGGATAATGAAGATGCGAGGGGAGAAGCTCTGGTGTAGCAGCTCTCCAGGTAGCAGTCTTGCCAGGCAGCTATAACGTTGCAGCAGCTTCTCGTGAAGCCGCCAACGTAAGGAACGTCCAATCTTCTGTTCAGCTAACAGTAGTCCTGCCATCAGATCTGGGAACTTGATTAAAGGAAGTAATGAGAGATAAGCTAAAGTGAAAATGAAAATTTTTATTTTCTCACCTTGTTGTCCAGCGTCTGGTTCTCTCCTCGTGACAGAACTGCCTCCAAAGTTTCTTCTACATGAGTCATCAGAGCATCCAGCACCTCAAGAGAAAATCCAACATAACACTTTATTCAAATAAAACCTGATGTATGATTTTCTAAACTGTGACATCACGGAAAGTTATTGGCATTTGGCCCTAAATCCTGATTGGTGAAACAGTGATAGTGGGCATTGCCGCTCACCTCCAGTGCATCATCCTGAAGCAGACACAGAAGTTCTTTGTGGACCAGCTGGACTTTTGAACCAAGCAACTTGACCACCTGACAGCAAGGCAGGAAAGGAAGCAGTCAATCAGAGTGAGGCAATCATTTAGCAATTTTATTTGATCATTTATGTCTTTCTTTCTCAGCCAAAAGGCCCAATCCCTGAGGATAGACCATCTGGAATCAGGCCTGGATCTCACCTGGTGGAAACTGGCTGCTGCGCTGCGCCGGACACAGACCTCTGGGTCACTACAAAGACTAGAGAAAGAAGGGTACAGCTCCGATAGGAAATGAGCTGTGTCTGCAAAAACCACCATAGCCTGGATGGAGAGAACAGGAAGTGACCCCACCACCTAAAGAGCTGACGAACTGTGAGTGTTTGTCTGTGGATTTGTGTGCACGTGTGTACCGGCAGGTTGTAGCAGCAGTTGCAGCGGATAAGTGTGGATTCGTTGTTGCTATCAGTCTGGTTTCCATCAGTCTGCAGTCCAGTGGTACACATCTCCTTAAATGTCTGCAGTAAATGACTCTTCTGCTCATCTGACAGTGAGCCTGAAACACGATCATCAAACAGTATGATCCACAGAAGTGATCTAAAACAGTGTTTCAGATCACTTCTGTGGATCTCAACAGACTGCTCTTTTCAAGCACTCCTTCCAGGTTCCTGTCCCTCAGCAGGCAGTGTTCAGATATTCTGTAGTGCTGGTGTTCTATAGGGGCAAGGCTTTCACACCGGGTAACTTTAGAAGTGTAGAGCTCACTGAACTCCTAGACTTGCTGCTATTTGCAACCTTTCACATTCCTGATATGTCTTAACCTCCTAAGACCCAAACTCTTCCACGGCATGCGTTTTTAATTTCTCTTTGATATTTGGGTTGATTGGGACCTGATGAATGTAAAAACAAAGAATTACCAGATTTTTTTTTTT